TTGCAAATTAACAGGTCATCAAAACAAAAACGCCATAGTACAGCTTGTCAGCACAATGATGTCACAGTATGTCCTTAAAACATGTCATATGTTGTCAAAGGCACTACAAAATGTCACAGCATCATTGAAAAAACATCATGGTGCAGTACATGGTTGAAAATACATCATAGTATTGTTTAGCAGAGAAAATATAGCATAACATGTCAGTGAAGTGTGTTTGTCAGAAAAACACATCGCTGTAATATGTCGACAAACATCATTGAACAGTGACTTTGGTCTTTTAACACGTTCATTTCCCGCTTCTCTTTGACAGCTGCAGTCACTCATCTTTCCCCGAGTCTTGTCTGCACCCAAATGGAATCGGCCACACCTGCACGACCTGGAAATACAAAAAGACAAAAATGTGAATAATAGCCCTTCAGACTCACTGATCACCTGTGTCTCCCTCATCAAGCCTCTGCCCACAGGTGTGCAGGTAACCCTGGCAACCAAGTGCCTCAAAGACAATCACTTACAACATCCACACACAGCATTAGTCTAATTTGGCTACAACAAGCACCATGGCAACGCCTGCATTGTGTTCGTGGCATTTTCACTTAAAACTGACCATTTTCTCGATAAGCTGTAATTTCATGTCAGCTTTTTTTTTTTACATTTATGTGATTAAAGCTGCAGAAAAAGGATTTAAAAAGAAAATACAAAAATTAAAGCTGCCTTTCTGTGATTTGGATGAGTCATTGTTTTCTCATAATTATGCATTTGTTCTGTTCTTATCCAACATTTCAGAGATCTGAGGCTGGAATGTTTTTTCTCACCTCGATGGATTTTTTTTTTCTGGAATCTCGTCTCTCCGGCCTGTTCCTGGTTCCGCCCTCGGCTTTTCTCTTCTTTCCTGTAGAAGACAAAAACAATACTCAGTCATAAAGTGCACGTCCGTAAGAAATGGCCTATAAGCGCTCAACACAGATTTCAAGCTGGCCTCTGGTAACGTGCTGTTCTCACTGCCCAACAGTCCAGAACCCAAAATATTAAACGGCTTCTCATGGAAGAGACGCAGAAATGCTGAGAATTCTTACGTTTGACTGCTTTTGGCTTAAAAATGACCTGAACAACTATTAAGTTCTTATATCAAAATGGAACCAGGAAACATCTTAAATAGATTCTTGAAGAACCAGCACCAGACCTCAGGGAATCATTTTTCAAGGCACCTCTTTGACAAACTTTCTAAAAAGTTCTTTGTGGAACTAAAAGGTTTTTTATTGCATCACAGCAAAGAACGACTTGGTTCCAGTGTGCACCTCAGTTTTTCCAGGTCATGTGGACGATCATTTGGTGATCTGAGCTGGAACAACAGGTTGGTTGTGGTGATGATCTGAGAAACAAAGCTGCTTTTTAAAGCCTTTTCAAGAAATCCCTCAGTCTTAGTCTGCTGTTTGTATTTCTAACTTTTGAACATTTTATTTAAAAATACAGTTCACGGCAAAAAGACTCACTTTGTTAAATGTTTGACAATATTTGTGCCGTTATGACACATTCATGTTTCCTGATGATACTGGGACTAAATGTGTCGTCTACGTGGATCATCTGGTTTTAAATGAGAGCATCAAACATGACAACATCCAGAGAGAGAATCTTGAACTCATTCATGGAGAAAACCTTCAAAACCAGCTTCTGTTTGAGCCTCAAATTAAAAGTTGAGCCTGAAATCATGAGTTCAGACCAACTCCAACATGACAGAGTGCAGACGGCCCAGAATGAAGCCGCTTTGGTTTGTATCTGCTTCCAGAAACCACTCAGCTGTTGTCTGATTGTCACATTTGATGCTTTCAAGTCATCTGCAGTGTTCATGAATGGATTCAGCTCACCTGGATTCACAGAGTCCTGCATCCTGAGTCCACTGTACAGCCACAACAAACCCAATCAGCATCAGCTGATCCACCTCCACTTCCTCCCATCCAGCCTCCATCCAAACCAGGAGGCGCCTCCTGCTGGTCAGAGGAGGAACAAAGCTCAGAAAACAGATGAGGCACAATCGGCTCACTGCAAGAGCGAGAGGTTTTAGTTCAGTTATGAAAAGTTTTGTTCTGAATTTAACATCTACGTAGGATAGTTACGGGTTGAGATGTTACACTCACTGCCTTGACTTAAGCTCCATCAAAACAGGAACAGAGGCGGTGGCGGGAACAGGAACAGAGGCATCATCGAGCCCCTCGGGAACAGAGGTGGTGGCGACCTGCTTGGGAACAGGAACAGAGGCAGCATTGACCTGCTCGGGAACAAGAACAGAAGTGGGAACAGGAACAGAGGCATGTCGAGCCCCTCGGGAACAGGAACAGAGATGACGACTGGCTCGGGAACAGGGGCGGCGGTGTTGAGCCCCTCGAGAATAGGAACAGAGGCAGCGTCGACCTGCTTATGAACGGAAACAGGAACAATGACCTGCTCAGGAACAAGAACAGAGGCAGCCTGCTTGGGAACAGAGTCAGGTGCCGTTGACCCGTTCAGGAACAGAAAGCGAGGTGGCGTCGACCCGCCCGGGAAGGGCCAGGATACAGGACCAGTATGGTGGGGGCGGCATGATCCCCGACGTCGAGTCACTTCCAGGAGGTGGAGTCCACGGGAGCAGGTACAGGTTCTTCCTTGGGTGTTGGTGTGAACTCAGTGCTAGCAGGCTGAGAGCTGCTCGCTCATGACTTGACAGAACCAGCAGGCTGGTGGCTCGCTGATTGGTAACATAGTTTAGTTAAACCACCACCAGGCCTGCCGCCTTGGGCCCACAGCACCTGACCAGACAGAGAGTAGGTTAATCAGCCCCAGGGCAACACCAGTGTGGAACAAATAAACATGTAAAGAAAACAAAGAACAAAGCCACGCAAACACCTAAATAAACACAGAACACAGGAAAATAAGACCAACAGAATCATTTAAAACAATTGGAACCTGATAGCATTTAGTTGTTGCTCTAAGCAGCCGATCCAAGTCAGCACCGCTCCTACAGCGGATCGATCAGCTGACCAGCACCTGTCGGAGCCGGAGCAGGAATTTACGCAGAGCCGAGCAGCAGCAGTCCTCCAAGAAATGGCGGCCAAAGGCGGGACACAATCCGCCTTATTGGAAAAAGGCAGGAGTTATCAAACAATGAAAACTTTGAACTAGTGAGTTTCATACATACCCTCTGTTGGCACAGCCCCGAAAAGCGCGCAGCGGAGAGCCTCAGAGGCTCCGACCTCATCGTGCACAAGGATGTCCAGCTGGGAGTCAAGCTGAAGGCAGAGCAAAATAAAGAACCAACGTCCTGGAGCGGACATCTAGCGGCGCGCACAGCGTCCAACAGAACCGTCCGTTTCCGCGACCCCGACAGCCAGCAGCTCTGCATGCCGAAGAAGAAAAAAACGAGCGTGTCACTGATGTGCGCACTTCATGCACCTACCAGACAGTCCAAGACCGCAGAGCAACTTACCTGTACGGAGGAAGTGGGCCACCTCGCCAGCGGGCCGCCAAACCACAGCCACCACCGGAGATGGAAGGAAGAGGTCAGGTGGCCCAACATCCGCTTTTAAAGACGCACGGTGCCGCCCACTAATCAAAGGTGACAAGACTGACACAGCGCCACATGGTGGCCGCGAGAGAAGCATCTCCGGTCACACCGAGCCCGGTTCTGTGTCTGCTGGGTTCAGTTCTGGCCAGACCATACTGTCATGAGGGGATAAATAAATAAATTGGATAACCCAGGTGTGGATAAACCAGACTAAAAACCAGCGACAAAATCCAGGGAAAAGTCCAAACTAAGAACAGAGGGGAAAAACTAAATGAATTCAAAGATTTAAAAAAAAACTCAGCTACTTAAACAAACAGGAATACTCACAAAAGGGGACCAAACCAGAGGGGGCAGACAGGCTCGGGGGATCCAGGGTGGAAGCGGCGGGAGGAGAAAGCTGGCTGGGTGGATGCTGGGTGGATGCAGGCTGGAGACGGAGCAGAGACAAGCAGCAGGAACGGCTCTGGAGAGAACAGAGTCTTTATAGGAGCTCTGGTGACTCTGTGCAGGTGAGTCCAGAGTCGCAGGTGTGGCTGATTGTCCTTGACTGTGTGCTGAGATGCAGACAGGCGAGGGCTGGGGGGTCATGGCATAGGGACTTTACATTTCCCGTGATGCCAAAGTTTCCCTTCGGTACAGCCGCCCCAGTCAGCCCAGTCTCTGGTTGTTTCTTTAGGGTTTGTAGGTGAGAAGCTGGCTGAACTCAGTGAAAAGTCTCTCCCAGGAGCAGGAGATATTATGTACGTACAAGTGATTGAGGACCAGTACCTTACCCCTGTGGGGAGGGAGGGGGACCAGACAAGATCAGGTCCTGTCGGGCACATTCCCATCAAAAGTTAATCACTAAATAATGACCTCGCCTCGATCTGCTGCCTAATGGCTCGATAGCAACAAATTGAGCAATTTTCTGACGACACAGAACATATAAAGTCATCAGTTCAATTCAATTTTATTGGTATAGCGCAGTTTACAACATATGTATGAACATGAGTACACAAATTACAACAAACATAAACAAATTAACTGAGCTGTAGAACAACAGTTTATGAGTTGTTAGGAATTGGTGTTAAAAAAAAAGTTTAAATAAAGTTCTGACATTGATCAAGTTGACCACGTGTGAAGATAGATTTTGTTTAACAAAAAAAAATGCTTTGATTTCTATTTACAAGATGAGTCAGGATTAAGTTTCATAATCATGTTTTTCAAAAAAAAAACAACACATTTACACCAAATCATTGTCAACAAGAAGGTCACGCTAAACTAAAAGACGATGGTGTAAAGAAGAAGGTGGAAGTTTGTGACCGAGCAGAGTGACTGAAAAAGAGAGAAGCTGAACATTGACTAGAGCTCAGAAAGGTCAAAGACTGTTCAGATGAACAGATCAAGTCGCTGCTCTGAGATCAACAAAGCTGTTTCTGGACCTCTGTGGACTAAACTTTATTTATCTTCACTGATGTCTAAAATCTCTACAACAAGTTCTATTAAACTCTCTGTGGACATCAAGGCTTCAGCCGACATGTTTCAAGACACTCTGTTCTCATCAGCTGAACGTGCTGCAGGTAGAGAAGCTGAACAACTTTGCCTGCAGCTCTAAATAGAAAGTAAAGTGAAACCTAATCCTGCACTGACTGAAGCTTCCTGCACACTCTGCTCATGCAGGCTGCCCTCTGCAGGCTGACATCAGCCTCCACACGTCAACACGACCTGCACTTCTCCATCAGTCACAGTGTGGAGCTGCAACACGAAACTACACAACAACGACACACGGTACACTGGTTCCCAGTCCTCCTCCCAGTATCAAGGCCCAGTCAGAGTCTCTGGACAAAAACTGCTGCTGCTTCAGCCTCTGGATCATCGGGACACACTTCATCCTCTCAGCACACACAGCGTCCTGATCAGCATCACTTCCATCTGCAGAGAGAAGAAAGAACACAGATCAATGAGTTTGATCAGCAGCTCATCAGGATGAAGAGCAGCAGCTTCATGTTGACGTGTTGGAGTGAACACACTGAGCTCACACACCTGCACACACTGTCAGCATCAGGTGTGTTTCTGCACATTTCACTGCGTCCACAGTGGAAACAAACTGCTGACTGTAATGATGCATAAGGTCTCGTTTATGGAGGTACGTTTTATTGTGAAAAGCCAGCATATTTCACAAACCCTGATCAGTTCCTTCGCACATCTCTCAGCTTTTACTTTGAAAGTGTAGCACACTTCAGAGAAGTCTGAGGTCTTTTTGCAAATATCAGTGTTTTTTGTCATCTGTGGAATTGGGACTTTAATAAAAAAAAAAAAAAAGCCCCAAAACAACAAACTATTGTGAATCCAGGCTGCAGTAGAGCTGTGACTGGGTATAGACTCTTATTTTGAAAGTCAATCTAAGTTCCTCAACACATCAACAGTCGACTCAAACACATGATGACGACCATCTTGTGGCTCATCTGATTGGCTGACTGCTGTCTCTGCTCTGTCCAATCACAAGTCTTTCACCATTCTGCTCTCACAGCTCCACTGAGAAGCTGCAGGTTTCCAGGAAACACTGGATCTTTGCTGAGATTCTGACTGTGTTCAGGACAAAAC